CTTTTGCACTTCTGGTTAGATACTAACTGCATTTCGTTGTCTTAGTACGTGTACTCTGTGCAATGACAATAAAGTTGAATCTAATCTAATCTAATCTAATATGTTTGTCTGAATTTTATAAGACATNTCCTCTGGATATATATACCTGTACAGCACACACTTGCACTTTAACTGCTCTTTTGCACTTCTGGTTAGATACTAACTGCATTTCGTTGTCTTAGTACGTGTACTCTGTGCAATGACAATAAAGTTGAATCTAATCTAATCTAATCTAATATGTTTGTCTGAATTTTATAAGACATGAATAGTATAGTATAATAGTAAAATGCAACCTCATTAAAACAGCCTAGCTTGTTACGACACATTTGTGTGTATTGTATGTATTGTGTGCATTCCTGAAAGTAAATTCAGATTTTATGTTTATAAACTGTTTGGTTGATGGTGATAAAAAGCCAATGTCTTTGGGTTTTTTTGGGTGTTGTTTTTTTTTTGTTTTTTTTTGGGGGGGGGTTGTTGCGTCCCCACCAACTGTTCTGACTGGAATTTGTTATTCTGAGAAGGGACTGACGATGACCTTGTCCTCATTGCAGTGTGGTTTAAGAGGCTGCTGGGGAAAGCTGTGGTTTCCAGAGCCCAGAGAAAAAAACATTCATTTAAAATAATATACAGTAATAAAACCTCTGCACATTAAAATGTCTAAAAACAGCTAGACCTATGATTTTATTTTGTTGAGTTGTGTACTTACATTATCCCAAACGCTTGCCTGTCAAAAGCGTCAAAATTGATTTTTTTTTTTTGAGTTTTAAGCCACATTTATACAATACATTTTTTAGATCTTGGTTGTTTATCACTATATATATTTTAACTGGATGAAGGATTTTAGTCAATAGACGTCTAAATCTTAAAATATGAGGGAAACAAGCTGAGCAAACGTCAGCAGCAGTCCTGTGTCTGCCGAATGGCACCAGAGACAGATTCTTAAAGTGACGCTGTTTTATTCAGTGTTTGTTTCTGGATTTAATTTGAGTTTTGAAGAGGACAACACCTCTGCAGATAATTTAGCTCCTGGAAAAAAAAACTTCTGAACATCTGGATCTTAAGCTATCAGAGAAAAAAAGCATCTCAGCTGCTCTGGGATCATTTTTAACATGAATGTGTTTTATTCTGTGTTTTCACCAGTTATAATCACCATGTGAGGACACCTCTGTGGATAATGCAGCTCCCAGTAAAAACTTCCTGAACCACAGACACTAAAGGAATCCTACCTGGGAGAAGCTGACTGTAATGGCGGCCATGATGGTGAAGAAACCATGATCCCACCAAACTCCATCTTTTGCCGTTGTTTAGATTGAGAGACCTCTAATGGCAGAAACCAGAGTGTCACTTTTTATTCATCAACAGCCGAAACTAAATCGTTGGAACGAACAGTTTAAGGTTGTAAGTATACAAATATTTATAAATGTCATTAAGACTCAGCGACACTAAGAATATTCTGTCTGATTGAACTACAGCAGCTGTATTTGGCCTTTTAAAATAACTGCTAATATTGCTGAGGTTACTCAGCCCAGCACTCAGGTGACCTGAAAGAGGATTTCCATCGTCCCCTGGCCTCTTTGAAAAGCTTTTTGCTAATCAAAGTTATAGACAAAAGCAAGAAAGAATGGGTAATCTTTATTTTTCCACAGGCCCGCTGCTTTAAACCCTTCCAAATCTAATTCTGACTCATTAGTAAGCCTCTGGAGTACTTCTGTCTCCTACTGCAGACACAACCTCTGAGACTAGCATGCGAGCGTGTGTGAGACAGCATCTTTAATTACCCAGGTAACACAGCCAGATGCTCCATCACTCTGGCAATGGCAGTGATTAAAAGCAGTAAAATATTCATTTCAATCAGACACCCACATGCCACATGTATAATTAATGCACAGTGGAAGGACACAGCAACTTTTACCACAACCACACACACACATACACACACTTCCATCACCATATTCCCTCTACTCGCTGCAGCCAGCTGCTGCGTGTGTGCTGAGGCGGATCCAAGAAATGGAACCGTGGATGAGCCACTTCGAGCAGCACTCCACAGGGAGGTCAGAGGGTCGCCAGACTGAATTCTGGGACATCATTCAGCCACCTACACAGCAGATGTGTTGAGTTGCTCTCTCACTGCCCCGACTCTCTCTGGGAGTGTTTTTGTTGGAGAAACAGCATCTTGAGTTTGCCGTCTAGCGTGTACTGTTCTCTCCTCTCTCTGTCGTGGGTGTGCTGCCTTCACCGCTCCCGCTTCGGTTTCTCAACGCCGCTCCGTTGTCAATACCTTCAAATACCTGCGAGCAGTTTGTCGGAGAGCTCAGAAGCAGTGTGATGTCTCTGGTGGGCGGAGGAATATACAAACACAAAACAGACTCAGACTTAAGGTGAATTTACAGACACGAAGTAGACATCTGATTTCTGACTCAGTTCGTGGAACAGATCTTATCTGCCCGAGGGTGAACAGAGAAACCACAGAAAAAGACTTTTCCATCCTGAGCTGAAATATATTAAAAATCAAATATTTTATTATTTTATTTAAATGTAAATCACACCAAAGGAATGCGCTCTTTCAGGCGCTTGAAATGAAATCTTTTCTTTTCTCCTGTCAATCCCCATGGTTCCACTTTGTCTGTTTTCTATTTCTGTCCTTCCAATCCATCTGACTGCTGTCTCTTTGTTTTCCTTGATTAAGCCCTCTGTTGCAGCATTGTTTAGACTCCAGCAGTAGGCTACAATTACTCAGCTGTGTGTGTGTGTGTGTGTGTGTGTGTGTGATGTGTGTGTGTGTGTGTGTGTGTGTTGTATCACGCTCATTACAATTACCTCTGGGTGTGAGTGTGTCATCTGTTGCCTGCTCATGTTCCAGTTTTTCTCCGAGTGGTGAGGGAGCTGCATCCAGATGCCTCAGCGTGCACCAACAGGCCAGGAAATGGGGAAGTCTGTATTCGACTGAATGGAAGCCGTGCATCCAGAACTCCTGACAAAGGCCAGAGCATGTGTCACCAGGAAGAGGAACCTCACGACCTCTCAGGTCGACACGCTTCCTTTCGTCTCGGCTCAAAAGATGCAAAAACATCTTGTATTCAACAAGCAAGAATGAACACACACACACACACACACACACACACACACACACACACACACACACACACACACACACACACACACTCTTAACTGGTTGGTGTCACATAGACTGACTGACACTCAGTGACATAATACATCGTGTTTGCATAATCCTCATTTCTTTTTTTTTCATCCATGTGAATTTTAGTAACTTGCAAAAGGAAAACAGACAAAATACTTTTTTTTTCTTCCCAAGTTTTTATTTTTTTTACCTGCCACTTGCAAACTGAGCACATTTCTGCTGAGATGCTGATATGAAAAACCAATATTACTTTGGCTTTTCATTGCACTGTTTTGCACAAAACCAATCACTGGCCACTTACTCTAATGCAGCAGACGCACTCTAATATAAACCTTCCCTGTTTGCAGGAACACAAAGCTTCCAGCTGATACAGCTTCAGCACGACACAAATAAAATCATTTATCCCAAATGAAAACACAGGAGTAGCTTTTTGATTTCACAACACAACCAGGTGTGTTTGTACCAGTACACACACACACACACACACACACACACACAAAAGATTACCAAGATATGAACCATAACCGCCCCCCCTCATTGTGTGGCTGCTCCTGCAAGCTGTTGCTGCTGTAAATAAGAATGTTTTCTCAGTCAACTTGCCCTGTTAAATAAGATTTTACAAAATCCCATGAAAGATTTCTCAGAGCTTGACGGAGGATATTGGCATTCCTGTGCAGAAGGCTGTTTTAAAACCTGTAAACAACACGGCATAAATTCACACAATTATGTCCCTCAGGCTGGAGGATGTGTGTGTGTGTGTGTGTGTGTGTGTGTGTGTGTGTGTGTGTGTGGCATGAGAAAGTAGTAGTCATAATGAGAATGTAGATGTCCTCCGCCCGTCATGGACACACCCTCCAACACACACACACTTCCTCTCATCTGCTGCCGCATGTCGATGAATAATGCACATATTAATCTTGCAATGTATGGAAGCTTTACTAATTAATTCAGCATTTCCCTGTTGGAGGTTATCTAATTAATGTGGCATCTTTGCAGTCACTGGCCATGGAAAACATTCTCTGAAGTTCGTCATCAGGGTGTTGCAGTAGAGGAAAAGGTCAGGAGGGCGTTGACTCCTGATTTAAAATGACCACCAGCCGCTCCTTTTCACACCATCACCCCGAGCTCCACCCTCCATTTTGCTGGCACCCTGAACAACCAGTAGGAGAGCAGCGTCAGGAATCAACCCATTTACCACCTGTGCACCGACCTCAGAGCCCCGACACGTCAATGATTTAACGTATTTCAGCAGCAGTGAACAGTCCGGTCCAGTCAGTGAAAAGCTGCACAAGTTTGTGAGGATTCAACGCCCCCGTCAGCTGGTCTGCACCCCGACCTGTGGTCCCACGCCCTCAGTGGGAGCGGGGACGGGGGCTGAAGCTACATCCGGGACTGGACCGCCGCTCTCTTGATCCACGCTTGGGGAAGGAGGAGGTGCAGTCTGGGCGAGCAGAGCTGCAGGCAGCGGAGTGGGGAGTGAGGCGGGGCTGTGGGGCAGGTGGGGCTTGCTCGCCACCTGTGACCCTCCTCTCCCCTGGTCCTTGGCGTTCTGCAGCAACACCTGGACGCTCTTGGAGAAGACAACACGAGGGTCAGCAGCAGGTAGAGCAGGACAGACGCAACTTTCCCTCAACTCCAGAGCCTGGACAGAGACATGAAGGACACACAGGGACGGTCACTAAACTCATTATAAACACTGTGTCATGAATGTGTCACTGGTTTAGTACTAACACTTGTTGTTCAGTGTAGGGGGGGGGGGGAGACAGAGAGAGAGAGAGGGAGAGAGGGGGAGAGAGAGAGAGACAGAGAGAGAGAGACAGAGAGGGAGAGAGAGACAGAGAGAGGGAGAGACAGAGACAGAGAGAGAGAGGGAGGGAGACAGAAAGAGAGACAGAGGTAGAGAGAGACAGAGACAGAGAGAGGGAGAGAGAGAGAGAGAGAGAGAGACAGAGAGAGGGAGAGAGAGACAGACAGAGAGAGAGGGACAGAGAGAGGGAGAGAGAGAGACAGACAGAGCGACAGGGAGAGAGAGAGAGAGAGAGACAGAGAGAGAGAGAGACAGACAGAGAGACATAGAGAGAATGTGAAGGACCAGAGACAAGAAAAGAAGGAAACAGATGCCCTGAGCTGAAGAACAGAACACGGCACCACAGAGAGAATCAGGGCTACCAGTTAGCAGCTGTGGTAGTGGCTCTACTGAGGCACATCTGTGCTCCGAGCTAAATGCTAACACATCTTAGTCCAGGTGTGTTAGCATGCTAATGTCTGCACTGAACACAAACTACAGCTGAGGATCGTGTTGACGTCAGTGGTTTTGTAGCTATTTGGTAAGAAATGTTAAATAAGTAGTTCACCTTAAATTAAAGGGTTCTTACATACAAACAACAAAATACCCAAGTGTCTGTGTTACTAGAACAGTGTCAGCTCTCTCTGTCATGACGCCTCTCTGTCGTAGAGCACAGAGATCATTCGGCCCACATGCTGAAAACTTGAAGCCTACTTTTTGAAATTCTTCAACACAGCCACGAGACTCTGAGCACATACGTGCACTTGCTTTCCCTCTCAGCAGGGTCTCCCTCTCCTGCCACCAGTGACTTAATGCGCTTTGCTTCAGGATGATGAGCGCACTAATGGAGGCGGAGTGCCCTCACAAGAGTTGGGTTAACTAGCTTGATGCTGTCACCCCTCCAAGGTTAAAAACATCACATTATGCATCACTCTATCACTCTCACCCGACTGAGCTCAGATGTTAAGTGGCTCATATGTGCTGCTATGTTGGATCGGATGAACTGGTGGTGAGGAGAGGACTGCAGATAGCAGATCCAGAGTTTCTCCACACACACACACACACACACACACACACACACACACACACACACACACACACACACACACTCTTCAGGCCAATGAATCCCCCAAACAACAGTCTTCATCACTTCGCTGCCTGTGGATACAGACTGATGCTGGAGGTCAATCTACCACACAGGGATGTGATATGATGCATGGGCCCATGCATACAACACACACACACACACACACACACACACACACACACACACACACACACAACGACACAGGCACCTGATGGACAATTAGTGGTTTACCCATCTGTTCGTCTCTGGCGCTCGGAGCGTCTGACGGTGAACCGACAGTCCGACTCACACTCAAGGTTAAAGCTGCTGCTGCCTGATCGATTTTTAATCTCTCTCTCTGGCTCCGACACAAACACACACACGCTCATGTGAAGACGTAATGATCGCTGTTGCTGACGTTTACCATAACAGTTGCTGTCTTAACTGCTTGTTGATTTCCTTCTAGCCTTGAGGTACCATTGACTGTCTCACCTCGGTGCCGGCGCAGTGTGTGTGTGTGTGTGTGTGTGGGGGGGGGGGTGCTGTCTCCTTTCAGGTCCTCAACTCAAAAATGTAGTTAAGCTGATATCCAGGCCCCGGTGTGGCCACATGTTTTTCCTGTCTTCCTAAACCCCTGCATCTTTTCCTCTCCTCCCCAAGTCCCTCCTTCCTCTCTGCCCCCCCCACCACCACCACCACACACACACACACACACGTCTGCAGGTGGATACACATCTCTCCAGATGCTTCATTAGTTCTATTAAGACTCCTCCGGCTCCTACAGTGGCAGTGTTTCTCTGCTCACAGGGATCAGAGTCTCCTGCTTTAGACAAACAGGTGTTGTATGTGTTCATTTAAATAACTGAACTTTATTGCTCCTGTTAACCCATGCTGTTATTTGGACTGAGCAGGACTGTGTGTGTGTACCTGTGGTATGAGGCCGTCCAGCTGAGTGAACCTGTTCCTGTGTGACGGGTGTGTGGACAGCCACTCGGGGAGGGCGGGCTCTCCCGTCAGCTGCTCTCTCAGCTCCATTTGCTGCCAGAAAACGGGGCTCGCTCGCACATCTGCACACGCCTGGGAAGGACACACACACACACCCCACGGACTCAGAAACACAAACACAACGTGGAGTCCCTCTGTCTCGTGCTGATGAAAATCCTCACCACCCCGTCATGTAAGGCGAGTTTAGTTTGACAACAGTGCCCCCTGCTGCTCAGCAGAGACATTACAGAGAGCAACAGTGACAGAGGAGCGTAGTAGTGATTACAAAAACAAAAAGGTTTTAAACAAGTCCTTCATCATCGCCAGTGAGTTCGAGCGCTGTGATCATGTTGAAGGGGTTGAAGTCGTCACGTGCTGCGTGTGGTGAGAGTTACGCCTGATGATGTCAGGACACAAACACACTAAAGCTTGAGAAATATTGTATTAACTGTCTGTTTTAATGATGCTCTCTAGTTGGGAACTGATATTGTCTTTCTGTTGTTTCTTTCTTTTTTCTTCAGATGTTTGTATTAATATTTTGTTTTTCAAAAGTCAGTTTTTAAAAAGAGGAGGTGATACAGACACATAAATCCATGGAGTGCTCCTTTAAGAAATACAACACTAGAGATGATGATGATGAAGATGATGATGATGATGAAGATGATGATGATACCTTAGCAGCCAACTGCAGTCCGACTCTGTCGGCCTCGGCCTCAAGTTTGCGACTGTAGGGTCGGCTGAACATCAGCTGAGGGAGAGACAGACAGTGTGACACACAGCAGACTTGTGTTGCTGCCTGGGCAGCGGACGTGTATGCACGTGTATGAAGTGTGAAAATGTTTTTATAAGACAGGTAACAGTCTGGAGCGAGTCACACCTTGGTGAGCTTGTCCTGTACCCAATGTCCCAGCAGCGCCAGGCTGTCTCTAGGACACACGGCCCAGATGGCCGTCAGCAGAATAAGGGACAGGAGGTCCACGACGTGAGACAGACTGGCCTCTTCAGCCTGCGGGAGGAGAGGGAGAGAGGGGGAGAGGGGGAGAGGGAGAGAGGGAGAGAGGGAGAGAGGGAGGTGGGAGGGAGTAGGGAGGGAAGGAGGTGGGGCAGTAAAGGTTTAGGATACAACAGAAAGAGAATGAGAAAAATAAGAGGCAAAAAGTTTTGGGCGGTGAACGAGACAGCTGGAACATATTGATTGTTCCCATCTATTTTAGTGGAACTTTAACTCTGTAGCAGATTTAGAGGTTTTAACAGCCAATCCAATAGAGCACACCTACTGGGTAATACCGAGCCCATCGATGCTCATTCCCTTCATCTAATTAAAATCTCCTTCAAGCATTTCCTCCGAGGACGTTTAAAGTCTGGAAATACCCACTTCATTAGACGCTGTTTTAGAACAAGAGGAATGGGCTTCTATTGGCCGAGTAAAAACAGCCATCAGAGGA